ACATGAGCTCACATTTTCCCATTGGAGTTTCAGTGGTCTGGGGGTGATGAAAGTGACTTCCCTACCAGGAGGTGGTTTTCCTTTTGAGGGTATTGGAATACCCTTGGGCCCTATAATGCTTCACCCGTGGTCCTTTTAAAATGCTTTTTAATATAAAGCTTCAATATTGGAAACCCAACACCACGATGTTTAACACTGAGCCTGTGATGGAGCACTATGGCTCGGAATGGGAGACAGCCTAGAATTGTTCATAGATGGAGTGGGGAGACATGTGGTGGCAAGAGTGGTGAGTGTGAATAACCCAGATCAGTGCTGATTTCCAATAGTACTCCATTTTCAGGGTGTGCTGTTTCTTTTTGGTTTTTTTATATCTGAGTGTAGGCTTCTCTAGAGATACCTTTTATCTTTAAATTTGAGCAAATTGTTCATTGGTGAGAGGTGAGGCTAAAAAACTCATTTTTTGTTCTTTTAATAGAGATGTGAATATAGTCTCAAAATCTGCAAATTTAATTCTTTGGCATTTCCCCTCTATTCATATGGGAGAAAATGTAGATGCTTGAGGTGCTTAGCATTGGATAGGTTTTTTTTTTTAACATTCATAGTTTGCATTTGACCTATTTGGAACACCGATTAATAATGGCCTGCTGCTTTCTGGAAGTTTTCAAATCCTCTTCTGCCAGGTCATAAAGTAAAGGAAAAGCTTTGTGTAAGGCACATGTAAGAGAGTTCCAACTTAGCATAGTATTATCCTTCTTCTCTCTGAGTTCTCTTCTTGCTCTTCCCCTCTCCCTTCAAAAGGAGGTTCATGACCAGGCATGGTGGCCCACATCTGTAATCCCAGCAGAGGGAAACCCAGGCAAGAGAATTGCTTGAGCCTGAGAGCTCACAGCTGGCCTGGGCAACAATAGTGAGACCCCAGTCCACAAAAAATACAAAATTAGCCAGGCATGGTGGTACACACCTGTAGTCCCAGCTACTCGAGAGGCTGAGACAGAAGGATCACCTGAGCCCAGGAGTTTGAGACTTGGTGAACCGTCATTATGCCACTACACTCCAGCCTAGGTGACAGAATGAGACTCTTGACTCAAAAAAAAGAGGTTCTGAAGGACTTGGTCTTTACTGGTAGGACTATTTTAACCCTTTGCGCTCAGAGACATCTCGCAGATCACCTACCAACAACTCCCTAAACATTTTTACGAAATAGTGAAAAATGAATCACTTCATATTAAATAGAATAGTGTTGGAACCAAATATTTTATTGTAATAATATTTGACATATACTGGAATTTTGGACGTGGATGAACTTGTTTATGACAAAAAAAATCAAAATTTTATATCTCATATTTTTCTAATGTGTGGTAATGTGTGAAGCAGTCAGTGACATGCATTGCAGGTTCATTGATAGAGGTTGTGCAATAGTAATTTGTTTGACATCTTCCACCTGGTGTTTTCTATTCAAGCAGCCAATACAGTCTTGTTTTCTTCCTTCCACATTAATAAAACATAATTTATTGTCCAGTCTGTTGTTCAAAGATGAAATGGAAGGATGCACTTGTGATTCCTTAAAACTGCCTCTCAGCTGATCAATCAGAAGAAGCTTGACAAATTTCAAATGGGACATAGGTTTTTCATTGTTTTTGAATGGAAAACTTCAAGGGAACATACATTTTTAAAAAATCTGTGCTGGTATAAGTTTGTCCTGTATAATCACCAGCAACTTCTTTATGTGCCCTGAGAGGGAACATCCAAGTGTTTGCTAGATTTACGATGCCTCTTTAGAGAAGACATCTGAGTGCAAAGAGTTAAATTTGATAAGTCCTAATCTTTACAGAAAGCAAGAGGTCGCATTCAGTGACCTGTGAGAGAACTCACAGTCTCAGCTGTGATGCCACACATGGATATTTTGGGAACTGGAGTATGGATAGAATTCTCCTGCTTATTTCATGCTCCAGGTTTTTTTACCTACATAACTTTGAGCAAGCCACTTATACCATGTGATTCTCATTTTTCTTATCTGCAAGTTGACAGCATCAGATTCAGTGATTTCTGAGGTTTCTCCTACCTCTAATATTATGTGGTAATGAGTTTCTAATGAAAAGTACTTTTAGTCCCTCTAAAATAGTATGAAGTACAGGTTTCAACAGAAGTGTTGTAATAGTACTCAAGGTTCTTGGATGGAAGTAGAGCAAGAGGACATGGTCTCTAAAAAGAATTACGTTTCTAGTTAGTTAGGGCATGACTCAGTAGGCAGTTCAAATGGATGCTGCTTGATTTTTTTTTTTTTTTTTAATTTGGAGACTCTCACTCTCTCACCCAGGCTGGAGTGCAGTGGCATGCTCACGGCCACTGCAGCCTCAACCTGCTGGGCTCAGGTGATCCTTCCGCCTCAGCTTTCCAAGTAGCGCTACCAGCATGTGCCACCATGCCCAGCTATTTTTTGATTTATTTTAGAGATGAGGTCTCACCAAGTTGCCCAGGCTGGTCTCGAACCCATGGGCTCAGGCAGTCCTCTCACATCGGCCTCCCAAAGTGCTGGGATTATAGACATGAGCCAACATACCCAGCCGATTTTTTTTTTTTATGAGTTTGTTTTGAGAGAATAGCAAATATTAATTGAGAAGCTATTTTCTGTCAAGAGCTGTGCAAGTCATTGGTCACTCATAGACTTTTTATGTATTCTTTGTCCTTACTAGAAAACTGAAGAAGCTAAGGTGATATATGTGTATCATGTGCTTGGTACATTCATGGTCCTAAGTTTAAAAATTGGTATACACTGGGTACAGTGATGCATACCTGTAGTTCCAGCTACCCAGGAGACTGAGACATGAAGATTGCTTGAGTCCAGGAGTTTGAGGCTAGCCTGGGCAGCACAGCAAGACCCTGTCTCTTTAAAAAGAGAAATTCTTAGGACAAGTCATTAGTCAGGCTCAGTGGTTCACACTCACAATCTCAGCACTTTGGGAGGCCAAGGCAGGAGGATCACTTGACACCATAAGTTCAAGACCAGCCTGGGCAACATAGTGAGACCCCATGTCTACAAAAAAAACAAAACAAAAAATTGTTGGGCATAGTGGCATGCCTGTAGTCCTAGATCCTTGGGAGGCTGAGGCAGGAGGATCTCTTAAGCCTAGAGGTTTGAGACTGAAGTGAACTATGGTCAGGCAGGCCATTGCACTCCAGCTTGAGCAGCAGAATGAGACTCTGTCTCAACATTTTTTTATATTAATTTTTAAAAAAGTTTTAGGACTTTCTAAAAGCTCTGAGACAGTATGGTAGAATAGTTAAGGATGGAGGATTTGGTGTCAAGCCTAACTGGTGACGAGGTGTTTTACTTTGGACAGGTTCCTTAATCTCTTTGAGCCTTAGTTTCTTTATCTGTAAAATAAATGAAAAACCATAAGTAAGGTACTGCATTTCGTGTTTGTTAATGGATGAATGACTGTCATATCTAAAGTACTCTAGACAATTCTGGGATGAAGAAAAATATGTACTTGTAAAAATGATCTATTTTTATAGGGTGATCAAGGAGAAGTCAATAACTGCTATGGTAGTCAGTGATAGCGAATTCACTGAGGAATGGATGTCTACAGTGGCATTCCTGCTGCAAGGAGGCAGTACGTAGATAATTGAGTATAAATACAAAAGAAGAATGTGAAAGGTTTTCTTAATAATTGAGGTTTGAGGCACCCTCAGAAGTCAGGAACTAGTGAAGCCATGGTCACGGTGATCATCTCAGCCCTTCTCTGGCCAGGTGGGGTGTTCTAGACTATGCGTTAACTATTTCAGTGTGTGTGCACACATGCACTGGTGCACTTTTTAAAGCATTTTAGGAATACATATACCAAGCGGATCCTTTTTCCTTCCTCCTGGGGGAGTTTAAAACTTTCTGTTGTAGTACTCTCAGTTCTCAGTATCTGAATCATTTATCCCTTGATAGGTGGTGGTAGAAATCTGGATGTGTTCAAAATATAGTTATCTGTGGGTTTTTAAGAGCTAGATGTTTGTGTTTGATTATAAGATGCATGCATTTTATGTTGTTTTTTTTTTTCTCCCAGGAGTTGCTTCCACCTAAATTGCATAAATAGGATGGTACATGAACAGTGTGGTATTTGACCCTTAGCTTTTACTGTTTTAAACATTGTCCCCTTATCCCATCTCAAACTTCATAGACTTATTTATGCAACTCTGTCTTTACCAATATCAAGAGCATACCCCATAAGTATGTATTATGCTATTTCACTTCACTTTAGAATTAGTAATGTTGTACAATAGTGCAACTATCTATATTGCCTAGAAAGTTATTGATGAATAAAATGTATAGTATGTTATAGTTAAGGATCTGTAACTAACTTTCACATCATATGATAGACTCAACTATTAATTCCCTCTTTTAAAATGCTGGGAAAGGCCAGGTGCAGTGGCTGAAGCCTGTAATCCCAGCACTTTGGGAGGCCAAGGTGAGGGGACTGCCTGAGGCCACAGGTTCAAAAACAGTCTGAGCAGCTTGGTGAGACCTCATCTCTACGATAAATCAAAAAATTAGCTGGGCATGGTAGTGCGTGCCTGTAGTTCCAGCTACCTGGAAGACTGAGGCGGAAGGATCACCTGAGTCCAGCAGGTCAACACTGGGATGGCCGTCAGCGTGCCACTGCACTCCTGCCTGGGTGACAGAGTGAGACTCCCACTCAGAAAAAAAAAAAAAACTGAGAAAAAAATAATGGCTATTTGGGCACACTAAGAATGTCTTGTTCAAGGTATTTATCAGATGATCATCTCATGTTAATTATTGAGAAATAGTTTTAGATATAGTTAGTAGATGAAATTTCAAGTCTTGTCTGTTTAGATTTATATAGAATTCATATTCAGATAAGTGATTGTGATTAATATTTTATTTGCCACATATTTTATAAGAACTGTGAAAATGATTTGTTATTATCTCATGGCTACATTTAAAAGGTAAATAGTTGTTTTTCTTTCCCCCTCTGCTTTTGAATTTACAGCAAAAGATGATGGAAGCATTGCTGTTGCCCTTGGTTACACTGCACATTTGGTCTCCATGATTTCCTTTTTCCTACAAGTGCCCCTCAGATATCCTATAATCCATAAGGGGTCTAGATCAACTATCAAAGATAATATCAATGACAAGCTGACTGAAAAGGAGAGAGAGTAAGTGCCTTTTTTTTAATGTTTTTAACTTCAAGCTAGTATACAACATTAGGTATATTAAAAATACAAAATGTGACCTCAGATGTGGCAACTCTTATGCAACATTTGTACAGTGCTCCATTTCTTTTAAAGCAAATGTAGTTATTCATTTAGATTTTAATGCTTCAATGTCTATACTCCCCCAAATTGCTACTAATAGCAGAATTGACTTATTTAGGCATAATTTACTCTCCTTTTATTTCTGTGAGGACAAGTGTCATATCTTCTGCAAATATTCACATAGTACTTCTTACCTGCTACTCACAAATAAAATGTTAAAAGATTTGTTAGAGGGTCAACAAGGAGAAGGATAAAGGTTTGACAGCAGATTGGAACATAACTGAAAAGTGGATTAGTGAAGTGGAAGATGAGTCAGTAGAAAATATTCTGATCAAAGTACAAAGAACTGAAGGTAATGGAATATAAAGAAAAGAACTAGATATACATAGGATACAATAACAAATGTGTAATATACCTATAATTACATTCACAGAGAGGGTGGAAAGATCATAGGGTAAACACAATATTTTAAGAGATAATGACTGAGAATTTTCCATTATTTATTTATTTATAGACAGGTTCTTGTTCTGTCGTCTATGCTGGCGTGTATGGTGTGATCATGTGTCACTGCAGCCTTAAACTCCTGATTTTACGAATCCTTTGGCCTCAACCTTCTGAGTAGCTAGGAGTAAAGGTGCACATCACCATACCTGGGTTTTGTTTTGTTTTTGGTAGACACAGGATCTCACTATATTGTTCAGACTGATCATCAACTTGTGACCTCAAGCAATCCCATCTTGTCCTCCCAAAATGCTGAGATTACAGGAGTGAGCCATTACACTCAGCAAAAATTTTCAAATTTAACAAAAAACATGAAGTTATAAATTTAAGAATCACAAAATAGGAAACAGAACAACTACAAAGAAAACATATCTGAGTCGGGCTTGGTGGCTCAGCCTGTAATCCCATGCTTTGGGAGACTGAGGTGAGTGAATTGCCTGAGCCTGCGGCTTTGAGACCCTCCTGGGCAACTTGGCGAGACCTCATCTCTACAATAAATAAAAAATTAGCCGGGTGTGGTAGAGCACTCCTGTAGTTCCAGCTACTTGGAAGGTTGAGGCGGAAGGATCGCTGGAGCCCAGCAGGTCGAGGCTGCGGTGGCCAGGAGCAGCCACTGCACTTCAGTCTGGGTGACAGTGAGACTCCAACTTAAAAACAAACAAAAAAAGAAAACATATCTGGGAAAATTAAACAGCTGAAAATCAAAGATGAAGTGAAAATATTAAAAGCAGCTAGAGAAAAAAGACATGATAACCTGAAAAGATTTATAGTAAGACTGAAAGCTTAGATTTCAATAGAATAACAATGGAAGCCAGAAAGTGATGCCATGATATTTTTAAACACTGGGGAGAAAAAAACCTGTCAACTTAGAATTTTATACCCATTGAAAATATCCTTCAAAAGTAAGGGCAAAGTAAAGATATTTCAGAATATCAAACCTGAGAAAATTCATCCCAGCAGACCTGCACTTAAAGGAAATACTAAAGGCGAAATAAAAATGATCTCACACAGATTTCAGGGAAATGCAGAAAGGAGCAAAGAACCACAGAAATGATAAGTATGTATATCTAGGTTCACCTTGACTATAAAAAAAATTAATGTCTTATTAAAAGATAAAGATTTATAAAATATATTTAAGATTACAATGTGTCATTCTAACATAAAAAGTGGGAAGAGTCAAATGGTGATAATATGCCCTAAGATCCTAATATTGTCTAGAAAATAGTAAAGGTAATAATTTATATTCTGTGGTAATAATTTATATCCAATGCTAATAATTCAAGGATGTATGTTGTAATCTCATAACCACTAAAATAGTTGTTTTGTACAAAGAAAAAATTAATAGAGGTGATAAATGGGAAAAAATAAGAAGATACTTGATTTATCCAAAATAAGGTAAACGAAAGTGAACATTAAGCAGGACAAACAGCAAATAATTAGTAAGTTTGTAGATATGAGCCCAGATTTCTCCTGTAATTACATTAAATGTATATGGTATTAATATTTTTTTAAAGATTGCCAGACTGAATAAAAATCTAAACTCATTCTGCTTTCAAGAGACACCTCAAATTTAAGGACACAAAAATGTTGAAAGTAAAAGAGTGAATAAAGATACATTATGCAAATTTTATCCAACTGACAGTTAATGTAACTGTGCTAATATCAAAGTAAAATTTAAGACAATATAAATAGTGAAACATTTTATGATAATATAGTCATTTCTAAATCTTTATGTATATATATTATATTCCTACAAACATATAGACAAAAATTCACAATACTACAAGGAAATGCGATAGCAGAGGACTTTACATTTTCTTTCATTAGCTGTTAGAACAAGTACAGAAGAATCAGTATTTAGAAGACCTGAAAAATATAATTAATACACTCAACCTAGGTAAGTATAAAGAACATCGTACCTAACGACTTCAGGATAATCATTCTTTCTGGTACACATGGAGCATTAACCAAAATTGCTTATTGTAGCCTCCATGTTTCAAAAGTTTGAAATAATAAAAATATGTTCATTGACCACAGTGGAATTAATTAGAAATCAATAATAAAATCCCAAAATGTGTGGATAATAAACAATACATTTCTGTATAACCTATCGGTAAACAAAACAAAAAGCCATTTCCCAGCACACTAGCTCCTGTATTCCCAGCTATTCTGGAGGTTGAAGCAAAAGGATCATTTGAGGCCAGGAGTTTGAGACTGCAGTATGCTATTAATGTCCCTATGAATAGCCACTGCATTCCAGTCTGAGCAACATCACAAGATGCTATCTCAAAAAAATAAAAAGAAGAAGAAACCATACGGGAAGTTTGAAACTATTTTCAATTGAGTGATAATGAGAATATAGCATATCAAAGCTTGCAAAGTACAGCTAAATCTGCAAGAGAGAAATTTATACCCCTAAGTGCATATATCAGAAAAAATAAGATGTAAATCATTGAAGGCTCCATCTGAAGACTCTCAAGAGCTCTTAGTGAAGCTTAGAAAAGTAAAAGGAGGGAAATTACAAAGATAAGAGTGGAAATTAAGTGGACACATGTACAATGGAAAAAACTATCAAGGTCCTTGAAACAACCGGAAAGTTGATAAACTCTTAGCAGGATAATTTAGAAACAGAAGAGACATGGCAAAATAAATAGTACAAGGAACAAAAGAAATTAAAAAAAGATGTCACAACACATAATACAGACAATAAAGGATAAGAAGATTTTTTTTTTTTTTTGAGTTGGAGTCTCACTCTGTTGCCCAGACTGGAGTGCAGTGGCATACTCTCTGCCACCGCAGCCTCGACCTGCTGGGCTCAGGTGATCCTTCTACCTCAGCCCTTCCAAGTAACTGGAACCACAGGCATGTGCTACCATGCCTGGCTGATTTTTTGATTTATTGTAGAAATGAGGTCTCACCATATTGCTCAGGCTGATCTCTAACCCCTGGGCTCAGGCAATTCTCTCACCTCTGCCTCCCAAATTGCTGGGATTACAGGCGTAAGCCACTGCGCCTGGCAGGATAGGAAGATCTTATGAACAACTAATAAATTTGAAATTTAAGTGAAATGACTATTCCTAGAAAAATGCAACTTTTCAAAACTAATACATGAATAACAGGAGTTTTAAAAAACACTACACTAGGACCAAGGTAAGTGAATATAAAATCTTCTACGTGAGTTATTCCCAACCCTGGCTGCACATTAGAGCCATCTGAGACTTTTAAAAATTGAGCTCCTGACCCCAAGATTCTTAGCCTCTCCCCCAAAGTTTCTGATTCAGTTAATGGGACCCAGTCATATTAGGTATTTTTTAAAAGCTCCTAAAGTGTGGTCAGGGTGGAGAACCCATGTTCTAGATTGAGAGAATGTTCTGTTCATGCCATGAAGAAATATCCTCCAGGTTATTTAGGAAGTTGCAAGCAATTCAGCATCACGGCGTGTGGAGGTAAAGTAGGTTTTAGAAACAGAAAAGTCAGGAAAGGCAGGTACCAACTGAAGAATTTAGTACTATACCTCAGTGGCTCTCAGCTGGGAGTGAGGATAGTCAACACCTGTATAGTTTCAATCAGTGCCTTTCCCAAGCCTGTGATTAGTTTAGAACCCAAGTGTTATTTTCCATTTCAAAAACTTTTCAAGAGCCTGAATACATGTGTTTGGCAAAAGGGGACATAGGTTTGTGTTCTTTGCTCTTATTTTTTAAAAGTTGAGGTGAATTTTACATACTATAATACTAAGGATTTAAAAGTGTCACCTTAGTGGTATTTAGTACATTTGCAGTATTAAGCAACCAAAACCTCTATGGAACTCTAAAACGTTTTCATCACCCCAAAGGAAAACCCTTTACCATTAAGCAGTCACTCCCTAATCCCCACCTTCCCTCAGCCCCTCCTAGAAAGCACAAGTCTGCTTTCTGTCTCTATGGATTTTCCGATTTTGAATATTTCATATAAATGGAATGAGACAATGTGTGATTTCTTTTCATTTCTTACTTCTTTCGGTTAACATAATGCTGACTGTGTTGTAGCATGGTCAGTACTCCATCCATTCATCTCTTGCTGGACATTTGTGTTGTTTCTACCTTTTGGCTACTGTGAATTGCTATGAACATTCATGTATAGGTGTTTGTTTGAGTAACCATTTTCGGTTCTTTTGGGTATATACCTACTAATGAAATTACTGAGTCATGTGGTAATTCTTTGTTTAATTTGTTGAAGAACCACCAAACTGTTTTCCATAGGAACAGGTACCATTTTACATTCCCATTGTGGTTTTGATTTGTATTTCTTCCTTCTTTTTTTTTTTTAAATAGATAGGTTCTCACTCTGTTGCCTAGGCTGGAGTACAGTAACACAATCACGGCTCACTGTAGCCTTCTACCTCCTGGGCTCAGTTAATCCTT